GTGTGTGTGTGTGTGTGTGTGTGTGTGTGTGTGTGTGTGTGTGTGTGTGTGTGTGTGTGTGTATGTATTCAACCGTCTAATAATTTATCTAATAATTTATGTTTCTTTATATTTTATACATATATTCTACGCAACAACAGTTACGTACATATATCTTAATATATAAGAACGCGTAACCCTCTCTCTATATATAATAAAAAGCAATTACTAACAGAAAGACGATTTTAAATCTACCCTCAGATTTTCCTTTTTCTCTTCTTTTCTTTTATGTTATCTGCCGTATTTCCTCATATAAAGTCCGAGTTCTCGTCTGAGAGTCATTATTACGAACCGAGTATAAAAATCATTATTTAGTAATCAGCAGTATCCGCGGCTTATTTTAATTCCACGACGTATATAAAGGCTGATTTCTACGTATTTGTACTTCCATGTCGTCGATAAACGGATAAACGAAGGTTTCCTCACGTACGTCTGAATCCGTGTGTTTAAAAGAAATCTCAGAAACTTTCGATAAAATATCAGTTTTAACACCGCTTCTTAAAACTGTATTTTACCGTCGTTCTCTCACCGCTTCTTCGTTTCTCTCTATTTTGTGTCCTATTTATAATCGCCCCAACGGCAAATAAATTGTTCCAGAGTTGTAGCACGATTCCTTTGGTGGAATAACTATCTTTCAGACTGTACGCAAAACCCGATGCATTTTTGTCACATTAAATAAATGTAGTTACATTTATAAATCTTTCTATCGTTTCTTTCGACGTCTTCATATATATCTTCATACACATATATACAAATACATACATATATATGTATGTATATATGCATGCATGCATGCATTTATACATGTATGTGTATGTGTTTCCGCGCATGTGTATAAATATGACTGTATGTATGTATATGTGTGTACCATGTAGTTATAATCATAAAACGAATGGTCAATGAACAACGTTATTTTTACAAAATAAAGTGCTTCGACGCGAATAAGATGTGCATGGAGATGCGAGCTCACAAAATTGTTTGTATTTAGAAGATACCAAAAAAATTTCAGATTCACCGCACAGCCTGAACGCGCATATTCTGTGTTTTCCTCCTCTTCCTTTCTATGTATATCCACGTTTTGCGGAAGGCTTGGCTTAAACTCGCGATTGTTCTCTACGCAATTCGACTTTAATGTGCTCACGGAGTTATTCTAATTTTCCTTTTTTACAGCTTACCGCGAAAGAGAAGTATAGATGAAATTTCAAGCTTTATCTAAAAAAAAAAAAAAAATATATGCCGTCAATTAAATTTAAATGATATAGATATTTTTGCTCTTATTTAAAATAAACATATTAAATAAATATAAAAAAGAAAATAGAATAGAAGGAAATATAATCAATGCAAGTGCAAAGTTGCTTCGTAATTTTACTCGTCAAAAATAGAAAAAATTACATTGTTATTTTTTAAAAACACATTATCGCGTTATAGACACTAATATTGCATATTCTGCGATATTGGTTTATCCGAAAGTTCTGTCAGTAGGAAAAGATCGATTGCGTGCAAATACACGCGCTATTTCAATAAAAATATAGATTGTTAAAAAAAAGAATAAAACCTGCTTCGATTGAACAGAACAATTTTATATATAAATACATTTTAAATTGCAGAATATTATCAGAATTTAATTTGTGCGCGACTCTATATCAACTTTCTTCATTTTTAGTATTCGAGATAACACGAGTTACAATAATTTCTATACTTGAAAGAAGAAAAAACTGGAAAAGAAAGCCGATGGTTCATCGGTACAAAATGGTTTTTTTAACTACCTATCGATATTTGAATTACAAATCAATGTTGATACTAATTTACTTCAATTTTGCTCACTCATGATAATTTTGTCCTATGCTATTTTAAAAATCCCTTTTAACAAGTAAATGCCCATCCCATTTGCCATCGTTTCAACAGCATGAAAAACCTCGGAAAACACGACACAAATGATAGCGATGGCAAAATATGCGTCTTTTCTTTGTGATTGCGTTAGAACTTTATCATGTTGAAGTAACTAAGATTAGGCTGTTGTCGTAAACATTTCGAATGTGCATCTCCTTGTTAAAATCAAATTACGCCGGTACTACTTCTCTCGGTTTCTACGTGGCGAACCAACCAATTTACTCAAATTTACTCAAACGATTTACTTGAGACTCTTGATGCACATTCACAATAACTACTTCGTTAGCATTATACATAGCGAATCGACCAACAGTAATGGTTTAATAGTAATCGGTAAGACATGAATCGTCAATACAAAAAAAAATAAAGCTCATGGTCCCACGACAAAGAAAAAGTAAAAAAGAGAGAGAAAGAGAGAGAGTAGGAGAGAGAGTGCAAAAAGAGAAAGAGAAACGTAACGAGCGGAGGTTACTGCAAAAAAATGTCGTAGAATGGATTTCTCCGGATTCTAGTCATCATTTTGCGCGTACTAAGCCGTCCAATGCGCGTCCACAAAGAAAAAAAAAACCAAAAGAAAAGCAGGACGCACACGTCGCGACTTTGCGAGACACGCGATTTCGTGAAAGCGCGAAACGCGTTACGGTGCGAAACACCACCGACCGTTCTTAAGTACCCCGAAAGCATTTGTTAAGCTACTACGTGTCGAGAGTGGCTGAGCGAGCGAACGGTGCGGAGGAACGTTTCGCGCTCGCACCGGAAACGCCCTGCCTGTTACTGTTCCGGTTCTTATCGCTGCGCGACAGCAGACTCTTGGCAGTCTCCTTGAGACTGCATCGCGGACGGAGACTGCTAACGTGTGTACGGCTACTGCTGTGTGTAAGAGGGTGGTGGTGTTGGTGGTTCACCACCAGGGATGCAGAGGACTCACCGGATTCCCAACCGTCCTCGTCACCGGTAGTGTCACACTCGCTGCTGTCCGCCTCGCTCGACTCGCTCGGCGTCTCCTGACCGCCCATCCCCAGCTGCACACCATCGCCACCTCTGTTCGTCGTCGCTGGCACAGCTGGCGATATGTTCCCGCCCACGCTATGCATAAATAGACTCACCTACAATTAAAAAAGATCACGAATAGTCAACCTGTTGTCAACATTGTATCCTGCGCTTGATAAGATCTTATTATTTGAATTTAAATAGATGTATATTTAATTGCTTTAATACGAAAAGTTTGACTAACAAAACGTTTAATGCTAAATATTTGGAATTGAAACATTGATTGTATACACTGTACATTTGCTCTCAGAATTTGCATGTAAGTGGCTTAAGCCACTTACAGCTACTTCTAGCTGTAAGTGACAAAATATTTAATGCTGAATATTTAACACTAAAATATCCGATATACATTCTACGTTGCTATACTTCTTTTTACTTTCTTTAATTATAATTTGCGAATACGAAAAAAACTAACTTTAAAATCCGGACTGTATAGTTTGTGATTTTTATCCTTGTGTACTTTGTCCAATCCTGACTTATCTATCCGTAAAACGAGAGTGGGCGGCATAGGACCGAGGCTCGCCAATGATCCAGTTCTAGGTTTCGCATGCGACATAACCATCGGTAATTCCATGGCTGTGCCGTCGCAGCTAAATGCCCTCGTCGATCTTTCAACATGTAAATCGCCATTGTCGCATTCGGAATTCGTTTTCTCACGGACGAAAAATGTGTTAAACCAAAAATGAAACATCTTTTCCTGGAAAATGAAGTAAAACACGGTTCATTGATCTCTGTAATGTCAAATAAGTTAATATAAATATTGCAATATACCTTTCTTTTCGTTTTTGGCTTATAATTATAGAACTCCACCCGTATATCTCCCCTTAGAGCGACAGTGTGTTGCAGTGGGATGCATATAGAAGATGTACCTTTTCGAACCTCATAATCATCAGAAAATATCCTGTTATTTGATTCCGAGATTACAAAATGCAGACCTAAAAACATGACATACAGAGAAAAATATAATAAAGTACAAATAAAAAGTTGCACAGAAAAATATTACGAAGTTAAAGAGAGAAAGATACGTTTTATTTCTTGAAAAGTTAGTAAAATAATATAAATTCCCGTTGTTAACGATAATAATCCATACATAACTTTTATATTAGGGTACTTACAGCCTTGACCTCCATTGAAAATAGGAGCCGGATCCAGTTGTATTTTACGCAATAATAATGTGACTGGTTCATAACTGACACCTTCTTGGAGGAGGGTAGCATAATAATCCACATACCTTCTCTGCGATGGTATCGTTACGCCTTTCCTAGATCATAATAAAGTCGAATAAATAAGATAATTCTCAATCATCGAGACATCATTATGCGGTAAATCCTCAAGTCTTCTGTAGTACTTACCTATCGTGAGTCCGTTTAGTTCCATAATAATTAAGGGCTTCCGTGGCAGTGGGAAACTGTTTGCTGTGAAGTAAATAGCAGCACACCATTACACCCGTTCGACCTTTGCCCGCCTTGCAATGAACTGCGGCCACATTGTCCTTATCTTGGGATAACCACGACTGCACGTCCTCGCAGAAAGGCTTAATCTGCTCCAGCTTTGGTGGATTGTGATCATCGAATGCGTAAGTAGCCACTCTCTGCTTGAATTTTTTGCAATCATACGATCTCTCAGAACACCTAAAACATTATCATAATGATATACCAAAGTTATTTGTCGAAAAAGAAACGTTTTAATGTTAAATTTTTCCACTTACAGATTATAAATTTTATAATGGTCTTTATGCTTCGATTCCAATAGTTTAACAACGTCATCAATATGATTTCTATCTTTTATATCTATTGTCATAACAGTCGCTAAGGAATTTATCCAACATCATTGGTTCATTGTATTAAAATACCATGTTTAATGTATATGTGCAAAACAATAATACAAGGATACATGTGAGATCAAGATCAAAACCGTCTTCTGTGAAACGTTTGCGGCGTTTGCTAACCAGCCCCTTTATGGGATTAGTCATCTTCATGTTGCTGATAGTATTGGCCATACTCGGCTGGCTTTGTCTTAACTCTCCTGCTTCGACTTCGATCGAATCACTTTCCGCCACCTCCTCGGGAATCTCTTCTTCTGCCTTTTGATTCTCAAAGGTTCTTTTAACCTGTTGTCGGAATTACAAATAATAGAACAGGGTCATAAATTTAATTATAATTAATTTTAATAGCATGCTACACACATTTGACAAATTAAAATATAAACGCAGGTTCACCTGAGGCTTGTGAGCTTGTGAGGCGTCACATGAGCCCAGTTCTGGTCTTCTTTGTTCCTCCAGACAAACATGGAGAGGAGTTACGGAGGCCGAGATATGCTCAGAGATTTTACTATTCAACCTGCCGCTGGTGGGTCTCCTGCAGGAAAAGCATATACCCATCAATTCCCAGAACATGTGTTCCTCTACTTAGGCATGTTTTTCATCGAGCATGTCCTATTTCTCCACCATGAAGCTCAGTGCTGGTTCTTGATCGGATGCGGATCATTTTATGATGACATATCACCATCACCAGTCTGATGGGATTTCACAGAACACACAACAGTGAAACTCCACAGAAAGCGATGATATAGCCTTTGGGAAGAATCTGTCCACACAATTGCAGTGGCAGATGACGCAAGTAAGAAATGCACACCATACACTCTTTCACAGGCTCCGTAATTGTACAGCTATCACTAAAGACACTGGCCTCCGGATTGCTGCTTGCTGCATTGTCCACCGCGGACTTCCTTATCCGTAGTCCACTCAGATAGACATTCCTGTTCCAAAAATCACAAAGATCACAATCATCATTATCAATCAACTTCGTCAATCAGCAACCAACGGAGAAGAATGAGAGAGAGAGTGTCTTACGGGAGAGAGAGTACTACCTTTACTTGGAAGGAGGTTGAAAGACTCGGTAAATGAACGGAAACATAAAAAAATCACGGAGGTATCGGAGTGGATCGTTCGGGAGTTCACCAAGTATCACCGGCTTACATTCGCGCGCGTTTACGCCGAACGCGGGCCACTGGAGTACGCGACGGGGATGACGAGTCAGCACCGCACGATAGTGCAACGGCGACCGAGAGCGATGCGAATCGTCGCGACTCGATGGCTCCTCGAGTCCGTCGCGCTCTCGCGATCGAGCCGATCGATGCGATGCGATGGGACGCGATGGGATGCGATGCGATGCGATGCGATGCGATGCGATACGAGACGTCGCGTCGCACCTCCGGCGTTCGCTTCGCCGTGCCGCTTATCCAGCCCGGACGACGACGGAGATTCGCGAGGAACCGCAGGCGAGACGGCAACGACGAGACGAACGACGAAGCAGGATTCTAGGTTTTAGGTTAAGTGCGCTCGCACTCTACAAAAGAGAGGCAGGGAGAGGAGCGGTCCTCTCTTCCTCTCGCGCGCGCTCGGCAGCGGCGGCGGCGCGTTCGTTTCTCGCGATTGACGGCGGCGACGGAGGAAGAGGTTTGATAGCGTAGGGTCGCCCGCAGCCTCGTGTACCGTCTAGCGAGCACGTTACCTTTTCCGCAGATAAAAGAGACCGAGGAAGCACGACGACAGACTCGGCGCTGAATCGAAGCTGATTGAAACCGAGCGGCTGACACAACGCTCGCGCTGCTCACTCTTTCTGTTTCTTTCTTTCTCTCTATCTCTCTCTCTCCCTCTCTCTTTTTCCCCTTCCTTCACTCACTCACTCTTTCTCTCTCCCGTTCGGATGGACGGACGACTGATCGCCGTCGTTCTCGCGTTACGTTACCCGGGGACTGTTCCGCGGCGGAACGGCGGTGTATTACCGGCACCTTGCTTCGCGGCAGCGTCGCCGACGGCACGTAGTACGCTCGACACGCGTTGTTAACGTTAACGCCATGACAGCGTGTGCGTGCGTGTGTGTATGTGTGTCTTTTCTCCGCTTTCTCGCCTCTCGACCCCCGCGGGCGGCACACGGTCTCTTCTTCGTTCCGTTCCGTTTCGTTCCGTCCTGTTCCGTCCCGTAATCGCACGCATGCACGCACTACGCACGTACATACGCATATATATATATATATATATATATTTGTGTGTATGTGTTGTATGTATTCTCGCTCGACTCGCTGCCGCGGCCCGTTCTCGTGTTTCTCTTTCGGCGCGCACGCTCCGATCGCGTCACCGCGAACGAATCGTGGGATCTTTCTCAGATCGGTTGGAGGAGCAGGAGGAGCGAGAGACGCACAGAAGAAGCCGAACGCGTCGTTCGCGTACGTCCTCGGACTCCTCGACTCTCCTCATCCTGCCGCCGCGAACGGACTTTGCGTTCTTTATCCAAACTTTGTCACGCTTAGGCCGGTTCCACCGACTAACAATAAGATTAACTTTAATTTCGATTTAACTTATCTCTTCGTAGAATTAGAAAAAGATAAAATGAAAATTAAACCGAGATTATAGTAGGTAAAGATTTAAATTATTAGTAGAATCAGATGGGTCCATTTCTATCAATGTAGATTAACTCTAATCTTAATCTAATTTATTTTTTATCTTTTTCTGATTCTAGCCTAATTTCTATTATATATACGGTGACCTTTATTGTAAAGGACAGTCCTTTATTTTAGGTAGCTGTCCTTTAAATTTGTCCTTTTATTTGTTTCTTCAAAATTCAATTTTGTCCTTTATTTTCCAATATTGTCCTTTACTGTCCTTTATTTTGACATTATGGGAAATTCTTTTCTAACTAACGTTCCAATGTCTATAATATTATATCAATGAGCAAATTTTTTACGGAAAATATCTTACAGTTTTGTGCATATAAATACAATTTGTTTTCGTTAATTGTATTTCTAAATTTTTTTAATTAAATTTATTCAAACTAGAATTGTTTTCATTTTTTTATTATTTCGAACCTTTCAATATTTCAGATCAAAGGTTTGTTCCAATACAGTCGAACCAGTTTCAAACTATCGGAAAACTGCGTATTATATCTCTATTTAATTATACTGTGCAATAAAATGTTATAATGCATAAATTTTTGACAATCACGAACTGGTTTAAAAATATGTAGGGACAAAGCCCTAAAATTTTCAAATTTGTCTTTTATTTTCATTAAGAAAATATGGTCACCGTAATTATGTACATAGATTAATTTTATAATCCAAATTATTTGTTTTATATTTTGCAGTTAGTTTCACGAACTAATATCAGAATTTTTTTTAATGCGATATTGACTTATTTGGGTTGATTATTTGACTAATACTTTTAATAGATACGTTATTGTACATACAACTAAAAACATCCTTAAAAAAATAAGATAATCATTTTGTTACGAATTGTATCCCTTGCTAGAATAAAAGTATCAGAAAAGAATATCAGATCAATGTCCCAGGTAGAACACGGAGTCATAATTAAGTCATAATGGTATCACAGGACGTCATCATGATGTCATTTGATACCAAAAAATTGACTTATAAGTGACGAATGAGGTCATGATATCCTCATGACTTCTGTGTTCTACTTGGGGTGGGCTTCAATATCTTCCAGATAATAGAAAATTTAAAGGTTCGAAGCTTCGATGAAATATCATTTCACGCCCCGCTGTGATCCTTTGAGTGCGATATGTGGTGATACAAGTCAATAAAAGTGTTGTTCTGTCTTTATTGCTTATTGAATACCAAGAAAGATAGAATAATAATGTTTATGTTGACTTGTGTCACTAAATAGAAAGCACTCACTGATGGCTATATTAATACGGTCGCGTTTATCTAAAAGAAACTTAAACGATTCTTTTCTTTCTAAAATTGGTAATCATCTCTTTTTGGGACACGGTACCATCTGGCTTTTCTCGTCTTTTTCTACCTAAACGTAGTGCTAAATGGTTATGTTTCAAAATTTACTGTCAGTCCGAAAATTTATAGTTTATGTTACGTGCATTATAGATGTTCAGCATTAACAGTAAATTTTGAAACACAGCCTTCTATTTAAAACGAATCATTTATTTACTCAGTTTTTCCTTCAAGATGCGTTCGACTTGGGCGCTCACGCTCTGTAACTAAATTCAATCAGATTTCTACTGCAAATCTATAGTCATCCGTAACTCTATCTGAAATTTGTTACTTTTTTGTTATAAAAAATTGGTAGTGTACTTAAAATCTGTCTCTATAGTTCAGACCCGAGAGTGAACGAAAATTGATTTTCTTCTCTCTCTTCGTTTCTAGAGCGTACGATTCGCGCGATTGTGGAAAACATTTCTTTCCTTTTTCTTTCTCATCTTTTCTTTCATTTTTTCTTCTCTCTAAAAATGAAAGACCTGTTTCAGTTACATCTCTTATACATCTAATATCTTTATCCTTTTTCTTGTTTTCCATACCTTGCTTTTATTTTTAATGCAGAAAATGTGAGAGAATTTACTATTTCCTTTATTTCCGAACTAAATCGGATTTCTTACTTTATCCAATTCTGAGAATCGAAGAAAAGAAAGAAATATCCGTATCACTTTTTTTCAGAAAACACGCGCGGAGGCTTTGTCCTCTGAACATCTTCCTATAATTCTCTTCAGCCTCTTTATATTTATTTCCTTTTTACATTTTCTAACGCTATCTCTAGTGTTGGGTAATGTAATACAAAATATTTATATATATATATTTTTTTTTAAACTGTGCATATTTTATTTAGTTCTCGAAAAATTTAATATTTAGGACATTAATATCTTGAAACTTTATTTTTAAACAGTTTATTTCTTAGCATAACATACATGCATTATATTTTTCTTAATTGTGCGTGACCTGACATAATTTTAGATAGTTTTACATTTTTGCAAGTGTTTCTTGGATTTATATATTATTTATTTTTTCTGTTTTTCTCTCTTTACATACATTTTTTTATAATCTTCCTAAAACAGTTCTTACCTTGAAGTAGCAATATTTACTAGGTTTGTGTGAATATCGAGTTAAATCTGAAATTTTTTCATATCTTATCGACATTTATATTACAAGATGTATATCTATTTTATATATCTTTCTTTACATATATTTACAAGTGTGGAATTAAATAGTATATAAGCATTGCTGAAGTTAACTGTATATAGAATTTAGATTTCACTTGTTAAAGATTACTGTTGATTTCATTTTGAGATTGGAAGGCAAAGTAAAAAAAATATATTACATTGAAGCGTTATTATATCTATCATAAAACTATAATGTGTAAGAGAATTTTTGGTATTTTTATCAGTAAACATAATTTGTGTGTAATATATATTTATAAAAAATTCTTAATTTTTTTGTAAAATAATGATATTAACTTATGTACTTACGTAATTAAATAGTATAAACGTAAGCAATAATTTAAATGGTATGTGCAAAATTATGGTGCCTTCTTACATTTTACAGTTCCAGTTACATAAAGAAATGCTTGAAAATAGGACTCAAAATTCAATTAATTTGTTACATAACAAAATAGACAAAAATGCATATTTGTGTGTATGTGCTTTTTAAAAGACATAATATATATAATAACACGTGTAAAAGCGTATTATATGTAAAAATCTCATATCGTAGTATTAAATCTTGACATAATTAATCGGAGCTTGTCCTAAAATTTTCAAATTAATATAATTTTTGTATCGCTATTAACAATTAACAATCGAAAGTTACTCTTTTTCACTTTTGCACAATTCTGTTATACATTTTATCACATACACAAATTTTGGACATGCATGTCTACTAGCTTTAATTATATTTATATCTTAACTGTATACATATATTATAAAAAGAAATTATATTTCAAATTATTTATTCTTTTAATTTTGAAGAAACAAAAATATCATTTATCTATATTGTCTATAGACTTACAAATTACATCCTATATTTTCTATAAAAGGAATTAAATAAGAGAAAATAAAAATTTTAACATAATAAAATGACGCTCTTGTCATTCGTTGTCACCATAGGTACAACGTATCCAGAAGAAAATTCCTTTATACCTTATTATAAAATTTTTCCCTTTCTACAACTTTTACTTTTACTATGGAATTATAAACACTTCGCTCGATGATTCTATTTTCGCTATTTCAACATCTTAATACTTTCATAAAAATTTTTAAACGTTCACGACAAGAAAACCACTTCCAACAGTATCGAAGTATTATATGCAGTTTCATGACGAAGCGGAATATCACTGTCATCGTTGTGGTAACATCTATCTAACACACGAAGAACTGTCAAAAAGAAACCAGTCACAGACAGCGACTGACAAAGGATAAAGTTCTTTCCTTAATCTAGATCCAGCTGTCTCGTGCTGAGCGTTCCCGTGTGTAGTTTCGACGTTCTCATCTTTCTGAATGATTTGAGTAAATCCTCCATCGTGATGGGACGCACGGTATCATGGAATTCTTCGTCGTATTCGTCGTCTGTATTATTCTCATATTTAAGTCCGTCGCTGCAAATTGAATAACATTATAAAAACTGATAGAATGTGACTTCAATTTTTGGAATTCGCACAATTCTGGACATAATGCAATATTCGATTTTTTTTCTATGAAATATTTAAATATACGTACTGCGTGTATAAGTAATCTCTAATACGATATATAGATGCGTTTCGACAAAGTTCTTGTAAATCAGATCCAGAGAAGCCTTCTGTATGCTTCGCTAATGTTGCAATTTCTACATTGTCTGCAGTTGGCTCATTTTTCAGTATCAATTGCAAAACTTTTAATCGCTGCTGTTCATTCTGAAACCGATATATATTGACATTATATTCCATAATTATGTTTTAATAATTATACAAAATTTAAATATCCTTACCGGCAATCCAATATGAAAAGTTGCCGGCATACGACGTAGAATTGCTTTATCTAAATCCTGTGGTCTATTAGTAGCTCCCATTATAATCACGGTACAATCAGGATCAGTTATCAAACCATCCCACAATGACATAAATTGAGCCTTCATCATTGCCGTGGCTTCGTGATCCTGTGAATTACGCGATCTCAAAAACGAATCTGTTAAAGTTAAAAATATATTAAGACAGGACATTTTATCT